GAGACTGAGAGAATCAAAATGGAGTTGCCGCTTTTGATAAGGGTAAGATTATTTGGTTACATGTGGGTTTGAGGTATGTCTAGTGAAGTTTTATAGATTTTGTTTGGGTTTATGTTATTTTTAGGCTGTTTGTTCGTTGGTGTGTCAGGTTGGTAATTGTTACGAGGCTTTTTGTTTGGTGGTTCGATGGTTGGTAAAGTAACACTGGGACACCTGTTGCCAATTACCAGCATCTCTGAGCCGTGGACACGGTCGTGGTAATTTAGGACGTTTAGGTTGAAGTAGTTAAAGAATCTATAAATTGTAGTACAAAGTGAGCAGCATAATCTTGTTGATGTCCTATGGTGATGATGGGGTTCTAGACTTGAAACTTTTGGTTCGAGGGCTGTCAAGAGGAATGGATGAGCGTAGAGGTTATGACTGCACGGTCTGCAGATGAGTACAGTCTGGGCATGATTGAAATGGAACCGCAAAGACGACAGTTGTTGAGGACACGGAATGCACGGACTTGAATCTTACAACTTATAACCAACGCTTAATGCCAACTTATAAAACGGCAACAGTGCGGTAGCTTTGAGACTGATAGTGACTTTTCCATTTTATGCACCGCATGTCTATAGTCACAAGCCCACAAGTCCAGAGCTGTGAACCTAGGAACTGCGACTATTTAGAGGTTTAGAGATTAAAGGTATGGATTCAACAAGTTATATTTCAACGATTTCTAGCCTTCACGCTAAAGCATACCTTAGTGCCATTGCCAAAATCGATCAAAATCTTTGCTATCCACTATGAGTTTAAACCATTCCAATTACAGCATTGTATTTTACATAATCTAATGTTTTCGGGAAAGGGATTAGTAAAAGAATATTTCTCTAGATAATTGAATTAGATATACTGACAAAAACACTAGATACAGAACAAACACTCGAGCTAATGTCAAGTACCATGACTTACTTCAAGTAAACAAGTTCCGTGTTTCATGTACTTGTCAGGTTATTTTTATGCGATTGTTCAAGAATACTCATAAGAGTTTTTGTATTTATACAATTTAAGTCTTAGTGTTAAAAAAATCTCAGTAGCAAAAAGATAAACGTCGCAGTCATGGGCGATGTCTAACAGTACTGACATGACTTTTTTATAAAGTCAATTAGACTTTTTAGTATTAAATCCTCCTATACTAAACAAATCAGTGCAACCCCCCTTCCTGTTAAAAGTCTGGTTCAAAAGTTAATGCAACTTTTGAGATTTTACCTAAAGTTAGGACTGTATACCCCATTGGTTTTCGATATTCTTCAAATATATGACTAAGGACAGAATAAAATAGTATGCCCAAACAATAACAACGTGACTAGACACAGAATAATGTGTAAACTCTTTATTCTGTGATGTTCCTTAACCAGAACGTGAGTTTATAAAATTAGAAGTGTATAAGCTTTATACAAAAAAGTATATTAAAAAAGTATTTAGCTGAGTGGTTATGGTGCTCGTCTGATGATACAAAGGTCGCCAGTTATATGCTGGGAAAGGTTTGTAGCTTTTAAATGGGTTGTAACTGTACCCAGCTATCCTTGATCGTTTTAATAAAATGTCCTGCTTGGCTAATGAAACAGCTGGTCTTAACTGGTAACAAAGATACATAAGGCATCTCACTCCATTCTACACTCATCGTTCACTCATATTTGGGTTACATTTCGCACCTAGACGGCGTCCTCCTTTAAATGGCGTCTCTTAATAGTAACTAGTACACCTGTTGCTCGAATTCGAGCAATTGTCAAGTACCATTATTATACAGAAGTTATCATTATAAAACTACAGTAATAACTGTCATGTTATCTATTAGTTTAAAAGACCCGACTTTAAGCGTATGTAACCGTAACTAATTGATATACTCACGCTATTAGTACTTTGAAAATAAACGCTTCTTGTACAAATATTTTAGTATTTTTTAGACCCGGCCTTATTTTGTAGTATTTTCTACAAATGTTTCCCGACTTAAAGCTGTCACCAGTAAACATTTCTTTCATGTATTTACTGTATTTGATTTGACATCAGGTATGTTTACTTTACCACTGTGACAACCTGATGTGTATATTCTTCATGGTTTTTTTTACTTCCAAAATAAGTTGCTTAGAATAACTGGCAAAAATGATTCATCTCTCCAAGTTATTGTGTACCTGGATTCCTTACTGTGAGACCCAGGCCTCTCCTCTACTCTTCTCATACGTATAAGATTTCCTATTAATTGTCTCCTCCTCCTGTTTTCAATATTTCTCCTTTAAACTCAAGAAATTTTCTGTTCTTCCAACAAAACTGATTAACTGTTTAGATTTGTTTATAACCTCCTAAATATTACAAACATCAATATTTACTCCCAAAAAGCTGGTGAGTTTCATTTTATATACAGCTGCTTTTGTTTTTAAATTTGTTCAATGTAATTCTTATGGGGAAAATGCTACCTTTGAGAGCGTCTCGCGCCCTTAAGGTTAAGAATTTTCAAATTCTAAAACCTTAATGCAAAACTACAAATTGAGACAAATTATGTGACACCTCAAACGTTAAAATCGGTCCAGAAATAACAGAGGAGTTTTGTTCGCAAAAACAGCCCTCACTTATACGAGATAATAATACCCCCGCCGCAGCAAACCTGCCAAATAAGTGAATTCTCATTTGCCTGAATTGGTTTTCAATTACATCTATTTAATTAACATTAAGTTTTACGAGTACTTAGGCTTGATATACTTAGGCTTGATAACGCTTTTATATACTAAATTATTAGTTTTTTAAGCTCTTTAAAAATGTCTGGAGAGAGCTTGGGAAATGTCGTGTTTTGAGAGTCAAAAATGAAGAAAAGCATATCAGTCCCGGGTCTAGGTCTTACCGTTTTATCAAAAAAATTCTAAAGGGAATTCGCTAAAAACGAAATGCAATATTAAGAAAATCGAATGATGCTTTTTAACAGTCGTTACCATAGATATCCGTAGTTTTTACCCATGGAGAGATTAAAGGTAACCCACCAATATTAGACAAACAGTTTAAATTGATTTGAATAAGTGGTCTGCCAGACCTGTTGTAATTGCATTTAAACACAGCAACTTCATAAATTAGGACATTTCCAGTCGGGACACCCACCAAAATAAAGCGCGTTGCGAAATGAACTAGCTAGGTTCGAATTCGGGATAGTATAAAAGACAAATTTACAAGAGAGTAAACATATCGCATGCAAATTAAATTATTTCCGTTGACAGCACATACGCTAAAATTATGAATAATTAATGTACAGTATCTGAAAGATTCAATAGGGAGATGACGCTCTTTCGCACAATACATAATAGCCTATGTGCTTCTTGGCTTTATTGATTTAATAAAAAACTGTTTGACGGACGCAGTTTGTATTTTGGAATGCCCAAACGAACCTTCGGAGTATAAACCCTAGTGACTAGAGTTTTCTATACTAAAAGGCAGAGAGAATAATTGTAGGTTACCAGTACTATTCTTAATATTATTATTGTGAAAATGTATTTATTCAAAGGTTGTAACCTTTGTGAGAAAAATCAATAAAGAGTGATGATGATATATTAATAGGCGCACTCAAACAAAACTTTTGTTGAGGCATAATACGTAAAACATAAAGCACATAAAACAGGCGTCAGAATTTCGGTTATCATAGCAATGGAAATAGTAGTTTACGCATCGATTGCGTAAAGATAGTGTTAACGACACGAGTAGAAAATTTAAGTTACGAGCCTTGGCGAGTGCCTTAAAAACTTCTACGAGTGTCGTTAACACTATTTACGCGAGTTGCGTACACTATTTTACCTACGACGGTGTTTTAATTACTAAAAATCACTACTCATAACTTCTAAGAGAGGTTATGCTTTTGTTTATAACCTCTAATTGCCACTGACATTGATGCAACGAAACATAGTATATAATACTAATTGCACCAATCAACAATTAAATTGGCCTGAACAGCTGATTAGTTGAATTTCGAATCATTACAATTTTGCTTCTCCTCTCTCAATCCTTGAACCTCATTGGTCCGTTACCCGTGTTGTTATGAGTAAAAATATGCTGTTATGAATGCAAACAATGCTGTTATGAGATACTTTTCAATTCTAAGAACTGTACTGAAAACGGCTACTTTAAAAAACGGTCGTAGGTAAAAGATATATTTTAAATCATACTGGGCCTTAAGAAGTGCGTACAAAAAATACCAGGGTTTGGGCGTCAGTAATATTACGTTTCGTAAATTAAGGGTGTTGTGGAAACCTGTTACTAGGTACGCCAAGAAATCTGACCGTTGAGTCAAGAATAAGATTGTTTAACAACAAAATTAAGTAAGTAAAATCATACTAATATTATAAATGTAAAAGTAGCTGTTTTAACTACACAATTTGTTTCTATGATATTCAATAGCATTAAAAGGTTATACGGTTTACCAACAGGGTGCAGCACCATTAGTTCTTTATTCATTAATGACAACTAACAGCTAATTTGAACCAAGCAGCAACAAAAACCCGAGTGTGAGAACTTTACTTCTTTCTATTGTTTAGGTGAAGTGGTAGAACATTATGGCTATGGTAGATGTTCTATATACTATAGTATACCGTAGATTATAGTAAACCAAATTTTCTCAAAACGTGTCCTCTCTCATTGCTAATGCAAAGCACGAGCATTTAACTACAATAAACATTGTATACCAACCCCGCACGAAGGACGGGTACTCAGCAGCTAGTAATTTACTAATTTTGCAAAACCAATGCTTTTTTACAGAGACGCCAACACTTTTACCTTAAAACCTCCACTTACAAATCACTCCGATTCAATCGTTCGATCCAAGCAATTCAATGGATATTTCCCATTGGAATGATTGACTAGTTAAATTACTGGTACAAATTAAGTTGTGACATCACAAAAGCTTCACTTCCCAAGTCCAAGATCAAGGAGTCTCGAGATGGGTTCCAATCAAAACGCGTCTCGGCCAATTGAATGTTCTCGCCGCAATTCAGTTGACATTGGGCCAATTGCTTGGACTGTTGAAGACGACCATGTGGTGTCACGGGGAGGTGCGACAGTATGTGGCGGCGTTCACAGGTAGGGGACCGAGCTTGGCTTTGAGAAGGTACCTTGGTGTAGATAGTGTAATAGTTAGTAACCGGGGAAGAGCTCTTCTCGGGGGAAATCATTCGCATAAGATCATTCTTTGATTAGTATTCACCCAAAAGCTATATGGTTATCCTTAAAAACTGTTCAAATATTGGATTGTAAATGCCTTCGTGTTAGCTATGATTATTTTGTTTACATCTGGTTGCTGTTTTTGTACTTAACATGAAACCCCATTTCACTGATGTTCAGATTTCGATTTGAAATATATTTTACTTTTAAATAATTTAACTGGCCTTCAAACATTGATATGGTACAAGTAGGACCATGATGCACAGAACTCGCTATTTAAGAAGTAGTGAAGACGATACTTTTATTGTGTCTTTATTTATATTAGAGCATAGGATATAATATAATCGTTGGTTTTTGACACTGAAACAGACATCCCATTTATATACTATCCTTGATTTCATTTTACCCCTAATCGTCATGTTTTGCAAACCTTGGTAAAAAGACAACCTTGTTAACAAGCCTTATGGAAGACTTGTTATCAAGGTTCTACTTGTTTGGGTTGTCTAATCCGTTCAAAGCGAACTAGAAAGAAAGATACCCCCGCCGCAGCAAACCTGCCGACTAAGCGAATTTCCATTTGTCTGAACTGATTTTCAGTTAAATTATATTTTAATAACATTAGGTTTAACGAGTACCTAGGTTTGCTGCTACAAGGAAACAAATAAAGTGTGTTTTTGAGTAAAATATTGATAGCTTAGTACAAAATAAATAAATTTGACAAGTTTGATCAAAATATATTCATAAACAAGCAAACCACAACATTTGACAATATTCTCCATAAGAATAACATGGGAATTTTAAATTTACAATTTTTTAAGTTTTCTCCGTTACTAATAATTGAACAAAAATACTTTTATATACTAAATTATTTGTTTTTTTAAGCTCTTAAAAAAGGTCTAAACAGAAATTGGGAAATTTTGTGTTTTGAGGGGCAAAAGTGAGAAAAACCAATTTTTACCCCATAAAACCCCCCGTAAAGCCCCGTTCCCATGGTCCGATCGTGCTGGTTCGCGAACTCATTCACGTTTATCCCGCTTTACACCTTTAAACCAAATTTCATCAAAATCGGACAAAAATTACTCAAGTTATCGCGTTCACGGACGTATATATATATATATATATAAGTCTATATATATATATATATATATATATATATATATATACATATATAAAAATTTGAACGAATAGTGTTTTTGGCCTCTGGGGACATCAAAATGAAAAAGTAAATCGGTCCCGGGTCTAGGTCTTACCGTGCCACCTACGGTAATAGCTACTTCCCTATAGGGAAATTCGCTAAAAATAAAATGGAATTACTGTGTTCATTTTTGCGTTAACAAAAAAAAAACATCTGAAAGCTAGGCTTATCAAATCCTAACATCTTTTAGGAAAACCAAAACCTACGCAAAATTAAAGTTGGAATTCTTCTGTTTTATTGATATAAGACAAATGAATTTATAAATACTTTATCAAGGCATTAAAAACTGTTACCGACGTACAAATTTATTTACATTAACGCAATTCTGTCAAATGTTGAAATCCAATTGGAAATAAGAACGTATGTAAAGTTAATTAAAATGTGTTTGGACAATTAGTTATTGCATTCATTGAACACTCATGAGTACAACTCAATTACAAATCAATTATCCACCCATTTAATAATAGTCTAGTCGAGATAAACTGAGTTTTAATTCTCAGTAAATAATCAAATGCAAAGTCCGTTTTTCCATTGCCAACCTAGATAGGATACAATGTAGAGTTAAATATCCTAACCTTTTTGCGTAGACACTGATAAAAAGGTTGCATAAAATAAAAAGAATAGTTCAATTCATAGGATAAATGTTAAAACAATAGAATCTACAATTAATTATTATAATTTGTTTAAAGACGTTTTTTTCACTTTGTGATTTTAGTCTGGATGCTTCAATGATGATTAATACATTACGATTACATGCATAAGGTCTGATACGAAATTAGTAAGTATTAACATAGACCAACCAACCACAAGAGCGTGTGTTTTATATATCTATGGTGTTAACTTTCGAATTTATAATCACCTATATCCTAATATAAATAATTAATTGCAAAACTAATAAAGTTTATCCTGAAGAAAATTCAGGTTTGTCTGTTTTTAAAACGTAAAAATAACATGAGAAAAACAACTAACTTAAAAAGCCTTAATAAAACATATAATTGGTACCAGTACTGCTATAGAATATTGTACAGAAAACATAGAGAATACCTTTTTTAAATATACATTACATATTTTCCTAGCTCGAGATTTAGTTCTTCATTCACTCTACAACTTTTAGAATTATTTCTTCATTCTAAGAACTTTTAGAATTGAGCTCTATCAAGGTTTTTCCTGAACGCGATATGACAAAGATTGCATCATAAATAACAGTTATTCTGTGATTTTCCTTATAGGATAGTCTTTTTGGTAATTTAACTACTCAAAAGACTATCAATTCTATGAATTCCATGCATATTTACAGAGCAGTTTCAACTCTTTTCAGTATGCGAGAAAATTAAAACTCACCCATTATCCTAAGGCACATTAAAGCGTCAGAAAAGGTTATTTTCAAGCTGAAGTGATCATTAGATAATCTGAATTTGTCACAGCTAAACGTCCCACATATTCATGATCCATAGGATTGGCCAAAATTGCCTTAAGCCTCGTCCACTCCGTCAGAATTGCTTACATACATTGCAAACTGTTAGCAATCTCATCCCTATTTCTTTTATTGTTTCTTAAAGGTACTTCTAATATTTTAGTTGTAATGATTTAGTTTTTTGTACTTTTGTTTGTTAGCGAATTTCCCATATAGGGAATAAGCTATTACCGTAGTACTCATGGTAAGACCTGGACGCGGGACCGATTTTTTTTTCGTTTTGAGGTCCCTAGAGGCCAAAAACACCATCCGTTCAAATTCATATATATATATATATATATTTATATATTTATATGTCTATATATTTATATATTTATATATATATATATATGTGTCCGTTAGCACGATAACTCGAGCAAAAATGATCCGATTTTGATGAAATTTGGTACAAACGTGTAAACCTACGTTTATTCGAACGAGTTCGCGATCCAGCTTGATCGGACTATGGGAACGGTGGTTTACGGGGGGTTTTATGGGGTAAAAATAGGTTTTTCCCATTTTTGACCCTAAAAACATAAAATTTAGCAATTTCTTTTCAAACCACTTTGTAGAGCTTAAAAAAACAAATAATTTTGTATAATGAAGCGTTATTATGCGCCTAATGGTTACGGAGAAAATTCCAAAAAATTGTAAATTTAAAATTCCCATGTTATTCTTATGGAGAATAAGTAAACTGTTGTAGTTTGCTTGTTTATGAACATATTTTGATCAAATTTGGAAAATGTTTTTATTTCTTACTAACTATTAACATTTACAAAAAAAAAACAGTTTTACCCTCCCTGATGCAGCAAACCTAAGTACTTGTTAAACTAATTCTATTTAAATAGGGAATGAATGTTATATTTTTAAGTAGACATTTCAGTGTAAATCCAATCAGTCAAATGGAAATTCGCTTAGTCTGCAGGTTTGCTGCGGCGGGGGTATATTTTTAATATACCTGAGGATCGTTAAAGTTGTTTTACGTGCATTTTGCTATGGGTATTTGCACCAATCGTGTGGTGTTTTTATTCTATAGGATTATGTTTACATTGATTCACCAATGCGTACTTTGACGGGGAAATAATGAGATGATAGCGTTGTGACTGCGATCAGCTGGTTCACAAGTCAAGTTAAGAGCCCAACGATCATGGGCAGCTGCTGGTCCAGTTTCGGACAATTTATGAAGCTTCTGACTTTGCTAAAAATCAAACAAGCCTTCTGAATACCAAGGCAAGCATTATATTCATCCAGCTTCAAATCTATATGGTCTAGGTTCTCACTTATGTAACGTATAACATGGTATAACTCAAGTCCCTCATGTAATGGCGGCATCAAATTTGAAGTTGCAAAACTATTGGAAATCCTGTTTTCGTGATGTAAAATATCAGCTAGATTCCTAATAGTTTTTCTTTTAGTTGTACTGCTAGCCTTCTAATTAGCGTCTAAGACCTAAGTGCAAGGGGACGAGTTTGATTCCTGACATTTTATAAACAATTTGATGATTTGAACTACTTACTCTTAAAAGCATATTTGTGATGATTTTCCTTGTAAATGCCACTAGCTTAGACACGAGCACTAACATAAAATAACACTTACCGGTACTTAATGTAAAAAATTGACCCTGAACTTATAGTAGCAACTTACCTCTGATTGCAGCATGCTTCTCCGTGCTAGTGTCCGGGTCGTGTTTTGGCTGGGTGACGCCCATCCTGGGTCTCCTCCTCAGCCCTGGGTCACCCATCCCCATGACCCAGGCCCAGAGTAGTTGGATGGTCGCAATCATAGAGGTCGGCAACGTACTCAGCCCCATCCCATCCAGCTTCCTCGCTGATCGCTGGGGGCGAAGACCGAGCATACTGCTCACAGGCCCGTTGTACTTCCTTAGCTGGGTAAGTGGCATATTTTATTATTGAATTTGGTCAAAGTTTCAACCAGTTATTGGGTAACAACTTAGAGAAATGGGGTGTGGATTTCAACTTTCAAATCAGTTGAGTAGGCTATGTTTTTGCCTGGCAACTGTTCTTACACATTACTTCAAGCTAGCCCTAGAGGGCTATGGCATCATCACATATAAATTCCATTGGGGATTGGCGGGATTACCAGTAGACTAGCTCACTCCCCATTGCATTGGGTAATAAAATTCGGTGAAGTATCTCACAAAAAAAAAACTGAAGGTGTAGCCAGTTTTGAATAAAAAAGATCTTTGTTAGATTTCACCAGTGACAAAACGATTTGTTGTCAAATATTGGTTTCTCACTTGTACATAAATTCCTTTACCATTAAAATACAAAATTAATCATCGTGAACATATATAATCATTGCCAAGTCTGATCTCAGCCATTTTCCTTTTCAAAGTTTACAAAATGCTTTCAGGCAATAGTCAGCACAAGAAGATTTTGTTCAACACTTTCTTTACAATAAACATCTCCCTTCTAAAATTACAAAACCTTAATAATACTTTTTAGTCATAACCCCAGCTATTATCGTTAATGACGTCATAGCCATCTGTTTATTCAAACACATGTTTCCAGCTGATCGTGATCGCATGGCCTAGCATCCAAGCCCTCTACTTTGCCAGACTTCTCCAAGGAGTCGCCATGGGTATCGTGTTCACCGTCGTTCCCCTCTACCTCAGTGAGATCGCCAGCCCTTCCATCAGGGGATCCATCTCCAGCATGTTTCACAATTGTTGGTAAGTCAGATTGAAGTTAGGCAGATACCAAGCAAAAATATGTATATTTACCATTTTGTAAATGTTTCCAGAAGTGTAGACATATCGTTAAGTGTCAAAAAGTCGTGTTTTGTTATATTCGTGAAATAGCTGGTTACTGAATAGATTTTGAGCTGCTTGGTGGTACAAAAACCTACTAAATTCGTTTGAAACTATACAAATCTCTGTTTTTTTCGCTGAATAAACTTGACAAATCCCCCTGAAATCAAAACTAGTGAGGGGTTAACCGAAACATTGGTACATATAGTAATGTCTGATGAGGTACGTAATCTTCAACAAATACATTTGAAATTATATTTGAGGAGTTTTCATTTAATTGACAACTATTTCAACATAAGTACAGGCTGTGTTTTAGGTAAACTGGTTCTGTTATACAAGACTATGCCAACTTTGGACAGGATAGTGCCTACTCACGTTACTAATTCAAACGAGTGGAAAGCACAAATTGTGCAACGAGCTTAAACTTGTGCAAATGTATTAAAATATTCATTTTAGTTAGATCTTAACACTAATACTTTACAATACTAAATTAATCCAATGCATAGAGATATACCTAGATTGTTCACAAAGGGGTTCTCTGATACATTGCTTTTACATCCGCCATACTTATCCAATTTTTACGATTGAAGTGTCATTTTAAAGCCTACTAGGTGAACCCGTGCGAATTCGCACGAATAATAAATTAGGATATTATTATAGCAACGTCGTTAGAAGTTGCGTCGTTGTATCGACGGTGGTATTGACCTCGATCGTTGGTTATATGAATTCTAACTATTCTAAGTTCTTTTTGCTGTTCAGTAGTAGTAGTTTGCAGGACGGAGCTGAAAACTTGCGCGTATGGATTAATATAAACCAAATGTTTAGTCAAAATGTGCATCAGTTCAGTGCTGCAAGAGCCATTAGCTTTGTTTAGCATTCTTTCTTGAACAGCGGTTTCGACGTCGTAGATATGAATTTAGGCACATGTGGGATGCACCCCTTCTGACAGTTGTAAGGTGCCAATTGAGTGATAAATTGTGTCGTGCACCTTGTGTACATGAAAGGCCCTTCACCGTTAATACTTCAATTTTAGCTCGAGTGCTGACCATTGCGAGCGCAGAGTTGTAAGATCTAATGTTCTCTTTGTAGTTTCTGCTCAAATGATTTGCTCCATTAAGTAGGCTCTGGATATAATACATTTCTCGGTATGGTGTTAGGTATATTCACTTTTCCTTTATGGCAGCAGGATGAAAATCCTTCGCCTCGTCCTCTTTGTTCTTCTTTAAAATGTAGCGCACCACATTTCTGACATTTTAATGCCATCTCGCCAAGTGAATGCTGCTGAATCATGTGTGTGTCAGTGTAATTTTGTAAGTACACTTTGCCACTAACTGTTCCAGCTCCTCATCTGGGCTCCTTGCGTTTTGCATTGCTTGCCGTATGTTGACTCGCCGTGTACGACCGGCAATATTTCTTTGTTGTCGCTTCCTTGGCGTGTTTAAACGAAAATATAATTTAAAACTTTTCTCCCGTCGTGTCCTATATAGGTAACATTTCTTTGCCGGGTTTCTAATAATTTTTAAAAACATGCAAACTGTTTATTCAAAACCAAACAAAACAGCTGGGATTTAATTTTTGTTAAACTAATGTATTGACATCTGTTTCAGAATATAATGACATTCAAATCCATCACAATGTTATCCTTATGGAAGGAACTTTGAGGGCAGCCCACGCCCTTAAAAAGATATATTTAGAAAATCTAAAGCCAGTTTGCACATCTACACACCTAGACGAACATTTTGGTATATAGTATGTGGGGTTAAATCTTAAAACAAAAAAGCCTTATTGTTCACAAAGTTTCATGTCGCGTATTAAATATATAGATGATTCAGCGCAACTGGAAATTACTTACAATACTGGGAATTGTAAACGAAAAAGGTAATTTCCTTAAGGGCTTCGCCCATTTGCATTTCAATTATTTCTGGAGTTCACTCTCAATGATCCAGTGTTAAAATAAAAAGGTATAAATACCTGCTATTATGCAATTCATTCAATAAACATTGAATGGATGAATCCCGGTTCAATCCTGGTTATTGAATGGATTGCCTAATAGCAGGTATTAAAACCTTTTTTTATTATTATTTGGCAATCAAAATCTCAATGAAGATACAGTGTTGCTGACAAACTTGATCTATAACGGTTTAATCGTGAATTCTAATCTGAACAGCTGATCCTTCAGGTAAACGTTTAACCACAGTTAGATGAAACAAGGAGACAAGCGAAATATTTTATGAAAATGGATTTTATATATGCTACTTTTTATAATTGCTACCTAATTGAGGTAGGTAAATCCCCAGTCTTATTGGCGTAGTTCAAGATTTTTGAAAAATAAATGGGTATTGCATTATTATTTACCTTGAATTTAAACTTTTAACCCTATTAAAATGCACAATTGGCGCATGCCCTTCGTCTTTACATAATTATTGCATGTGATTGTTGATATTCTAAGTATTTTCTTTGTGCAAAATAAATACCATTCTGATTCTAACCACATCTATTTCCAGGTACCTCGGTCACTTGATAGAATACTGTATCGGCCCCTTTCTCTCCTACCACATGTACACCTACGTCACCGCAGCTCTTCCGGTCATCGCGGTGGCCATCTTCTGGAACCAGCCGGAGACTCCGTACTACCTGCTGATGCGGAGGAACGAACCAGCTGCTGCAGCGGCTCTGGCCAGACTGCGGGGACGGTCAAACACCAACGCGGTCAACAAAGAACTGCAGAGCATGATACAATCCGTGACGGCAGACGTAACCAACAAAGCATCTTGGAGGGACATCGTCTCAACATCAGCTGACAGAAGAGCCTTGTACATCGTGATAGGCCTGGGTATCATCAGGGTGTTGAACGGTCTGATAGCTCTGATGACGTATCCGACTCAAACATTCTCACAGATACACGCTCTGAACTCTGACAACTCTACCAAGATAGTGGCACCAAACAACATGACAATCTTGTTCGGAGTTGTTTTGTTCATTTCCAGCTTCTTTGTGACAATAATCGCTGATCTGTCTGGGAGAAGACAGCTGTTGATGTTTTCCTGTATCGGAGCAGGGGTGAATTTGTTTCTCGCTGGATGCTATTTCTATCTTGACACCCAAACGGTTGTTGATGTCACGCACTACAGTTGGTTTCCTGTCGCAGTCATTGTTGTGTTCAGTCTGTTCGTTTCTCTAGGTGTAAGTCCGGTGTCTGTTATGTACCAGTCTGAAATGTTTCTCAGCAATACGCGAGGTTTCGCTTCCAGTATTTCTGCCATCAACTTGACTCTCAATGCTTTCTTTGTCCTCAAATTCTACCTGGTGATCACCGACGCTTTAGGGCTGTTTTCCGTCTTCTGGATGTTCGCGACAGTGTGTTTTTTCGGGTCATTCTGGATATACTTCACCGTCCCGGAAACCAAGGGGAAGACTTTTGCTGAAATAAGGCAGGAATTGAACGCCTCATTGCAGAAGAATGGGAAGCCCTTGGATATTCCGACGATTGAGATTTCCGACGTCCACTTGTGATTTTGTTTTTTTTTTTGCAACAAAAATGAAAAAGAGTGCTGGTCATCTTTGTGGTTCTTTGACAATTGATGTCATGATAGACTTTTTTAACATAATTTCTTGAAAAAGAAAACAGAGAAAATGTCTATTCAAAAAGACAACTTGTTTCCTACTACCACTGATGAATACTATCACACAAAAGCTATATTATTGTATAGATTCTTTGTGGTAGATTCTTTGTGAGTATTGTTTAAATTTATAATTTTAATCAAAATGATTAATCATGTAAAAATATTATGTACAATAAATTAATCGGGTTTTAAAAATATACATGATTCAATTGATTATAAGAAAAATTCTGTTTACTTAATCTCCAACAAAAAGTGAGCACATGTATTTAAATTAAGGATTAACTTGGTTTGTTATAACAGTAACCAACTGTTATGTAATATGATTTCTATTGTACTGTCAAATATTTCTTCTTTTAAAGTCTTAAAAGCCAATCTATCTATCTATTCTATATATAATTACGTAAGCCGATTCTTTGCGTCAAAATTGTGGATGAATGGGAAGTTGTAGAACGACGGGAGAGGGCTCAAATTAAAGGTCTTGACCCCGTGACTGCGGGAAAAATAGTAAAATTCCCCAAATCTTAACACAAAATTAGATATAACGTGAAATGTTCTCCATAAGAATATCATTAGAAGCCATTTACTGCTGATTTTTGTTTACTTCAATACAGCTGACCGTGATTTGTCGCTAAGCAAGTAGCAATATTACATTTGGATTACTCATTTGCCAGTCAATTCTGCAATGTAATGTATACTATATAAAACCAACTATATAAAGAGATAACGTTACCCATAATAATCAAGACTCTTTAGTTATGTCAAAGTTGAAATGAATTGTTTTTAAGATTAAAGAAACGATTCAAGATTAAATAAAGATCTTCTTTGTTTTGATTTCAAAACATATATTAAAGATTTATTCCACACTTTTTTGTAAATTTACTAACATTTATATTTGAGATTTATTGTAGTGTTGAGTCAATATTTTGTATGAAGTGGAATAACCTCAACGGTTACTCTTTGAAAACAATTTGGGAATAAAGGTGAAGTAGTTTCGTACAGGTATTTTTTTATTAAGTACTTAAGTACTTTGTTGCTCCAAGCAAAAAAGGTTTAAATAATATATCCTAGCATGCACGGTAGTAAAGGGAGAACCTATATATAACAGTAGAACATAGAGGTAATTTCCATTTCTTAAATCTAACCAAAAATATTTATGTCGTGATTAGTTTTGATAACTGGGTAATGGAACCCTAACCAGTCACAAAATAGTCAGTAATTAGACGTTGATTAGGCCCTTTTTTGTTAGAATATGTAAATCAATCGCACATTTAGGAGGATTACCACCACATATACTTACACTAGGCTAATAGTTTTTTTTTTTTTATGTTGATCAGAAACAAATTTAGTGTTAAGTTCTATCAATGGGATGCCTTTACTTAAGACTAATTTTGTTAAACCTTTACAAAATGAGCATATACTTAAAAATAATAACTGGGTAGGCTAGGGATGCTAATTTAGCGGTTTTGACCAAGAACTAAGTTTATCTCAACACACCATTTTTTTCCTTTTCTTATTTGACGGAGACAATTTCCAAAACTGTATTTCAATCGGGGAAGCCTTTTAATCATCATTAACAAAAAACCCAAAGCTACCTTAATAAATCAATATTTATTCGTAAACATTTTTGCTGCCTTTAGCAGTTAAACCTCTGGAATCATTCAAATTATTTATTGAAAATAATATAAACAAAAGCAAACAAAGACAAACAAACTGTTTTTTTTTTGTTTTTGTTTTTTTACACAAAAGATATGTTGTACTGGGATGTCTATCCTGACACATAAATAATTTGATTCTGAGATTGTTTAAATATTACAATAATTTCTTTTACATTTGAGCTTTTTAGGGACTTATGTCCCTACAAGCCAATAGTATTTCTTTAAAGATATTAAAAGAAGAAATATTTGACAGTACAATAGAAATCATATTACATAACAGTAACATTTGGTAAATAAACTATTAAAAATTGCATAAATTAATTATTTTTTACCATAAGCTAACCTCCCAAACTTAATTTTTGAAATGACGGATCATTAACAGTTTAGCTTAGTAAAATAAAATTTACGTTTGTAATCTTTAAGAATATACTACTTTTAACTGGTATAGGTAGGTAACATGAAATTTATACGTGTTAAAATTGATACGCGATTAGAAGTTTAGTCGAAATCCCGTATATACTGACAGACATGCAGATAACTACGTATTTTTGCCACTCATTTATATTAAAATACTGTTGGTCAGGATGTAGTGAATAAAACGATAAAGGGTGGCCAGTGGGTTTCAAGTAATTTTGTATGATGCCTAAGTAAGTTTCTATCCCATATAGAATTTTAAAAATCCCTTTACATTTTACCCCATTTATTTTCTGAATTTGTTTCCTTGTACAAGAATATTTATACGTATCATTTTTATTAACAGGTTTGGACGAGGAACGTTATTTCTTTACATTTCCAACTGCCTTATACTGCTGTTAAAAAATACATAAGATAGTCTTAAGTTAAGTTATACGTTTATGCATTCTATGGTTACTACGGATACAAAAAGTACCCATGGTTTTGAATACAATACCAATATATTTACAAGACAAAATATTCTAAATATATCGAAATTAAAAACCTATACATAAGAGATTTGGTTGATATTTTAAGTATTTCCCACGAATACTAGAAAAGACCTGGTATGGACCATAAAAATAAACAAATGACCTTTTTGGCCCGAAAGTAAAGATTATTTAACATTATTTAAATGGAACTATCTAATCCATATGTCAATGCTATTAGTATAGGATTCGGGCCAAAAACGTTATTTTTTATGTTTATGATCCATACCGGTATTTTTCAAGTATTCGTGGTATTTTCTTAAGAAAAGCTCATATACCAGGCCAATATGAACAAAACATATAACACGACGTTTTTATTGAATCATCGAGCAGAAGCTTATGTTATGCTGGTTTCTACAGATGTTTTTTGTAAACATCTGTTTCCAAACTCAGATGTGAAACAAACTTTAAGTAGTACAGGTAGTACCTTTGACTACCTAGTACCATAGACTAACCTAGTACATTGTTTCCCCTTTTAAGACAATTTAAAATTCCTTACAATCTTTTTTGTCAAGAACGCGGAAGACCGGGATTGGTGGGGATTCCAAACCTGTTATCAGCTGAGAATATTAGTGACTTGAGGCAGAAAAGCTGAGAAAAACAGAAGATATCGCTCACGTAGTTATCTAAATGTTTCCAACCTCGCATGTTCCCAATACTAGATAGCGTCCAGACACAAAACCAAGGTTGACTTTGTAGAAACCATTATGGAATTTATCTAGTGTTTTCACCCGCGTATTAATGTTGGTATAAATAGCTTGATTCCTATAAAACAAAGCTTTTACCTTTGTCTTCTTCGAACCTTGTATTAAATTACGTAAATCATACTAATATTATAAATGTGAAGGTTTGTTTGTTTTGGGTTCAATCACGTATTAACTACTGATCGAGTTGGGCTGAAATTTAGCATGATGATAGCTCACATTCCCGAAAAAACATATAGGCCTATTCTTATGTCAAAAATCCTTTCAGGCTCTGCCCCAGTGGCTTAGTAGTTTCACATATTAACTTATTAATATTTAAAATTGGATTAATAAATCTTAACACTTGTTTCAACTAAACAATTTAATTCTGTGATGTTCAATAGCATTAAAAAGTTATAAGGTTTACCAACATGGTGCAGCACTATGACAACACTGTGATTGACAATGAGAACTGTCAAAGTAGGATTGTTTACAGTTATGTTTATGTTTTTAATTTAATAATTTATGATATTGTTTCTGTTTTTGATAATATACTTTTTCGATTATTTAGGTGCAGTGGTAGAGCATTATGGCTATGGTAGATGTGTTATACTATATAATACCGTAAATTTAGAAAACCCCATTTTTTAAACCGTGTCCTCTCCTTTAACTGCAATAAACATTTTATACTTATACACCAACCCCGTACGAAGGACAGGTACTCTGTTAGTTTTTATCATTTTATGTTTTCCTCAACAAATGATTACTAAAGTTTGATTCTTATCAGATACATTCCAATAGACAAACACTAAAATAAGTAATAAGTAATAAGGATGAATAATAAGTAGCAAAATAATTACTTAACAATAATTTAACTTAAAATTTCTCAACCATCTCGAGTATATAATTTTAGCTATCCTCTTTTATTTTAGAAGACATTAATCATCGCAGTTAATTTATAACATAAATGGCCAAGTTATGTTACATTTCCACACACGTTCTTTTACATTATATTTAATTGTATTATTCCATGTTGACCAATGGTTAGGGAAACGATTCCATTTTAAAATCCTTAGGTGACAAATAAAATACATGGTTTATTAAAAAAGTTTGTATTTATCACAGACGGAAACTTAGAACTAAAAAAGAGCACAACGTAAGTACAAAAGTAATAAAATGTATTTACAAAACTACATCAAACGGACTTAAATATTAAGTTAATAAGCTTCCAAAGAGCTGCTACAAAACACGCGTTGAGCGTTGACCCATTTGTAAAAAAATACATCACATATAGAGTTTTGATAATTACTAAACAAATATACTGAAAATATTACTACAATATACGCCGATGTTTGCGTGAACAAGACTAGATGTACACCGACCTATAAACACCTTCGTCCATTTCCCTGATTTCCTTCTGCTTCCTCCTCATTTCAGCGCTCTCCTGCAACTCATTCTGGATGTCCGACAAAGTCTTGCCTTTGGTCTCGATGGCGATATAGTACATCCAAAAAGCCCCGCAGAAACAAACAAGAGAAAACCCGAGATACAATACGTCAAAACCAACGGTATCGGCGACCACTTGGTAGCCTTTGAGTGATATGAAGGCACTAATGGTGAAGATAAGAGTGTTGATGCTGGCAGCTACTGCTCTAGTGTTTGCGGGGAACATTTCTGATCTGTAGGTCATTGCTACAGGGTCGAGACCGAACGCGAGGAAAAGACAGTAGAGGACGAGAGCTAGAGGACAAATCCAGTTGAAAGCGCGAACATCGATTCCGGTGCGTTCGTCGAGGAAGAAGTAAATACTGACTGCAAGATGGCTGAAGGCGCAACCCACCGCGGAAATCATCAGAAGAGGTCTTCTACCTGTGATGTCTGTCAGAGCCGTGCTGAAGAAGCTGGAGAGGAAGATGACGGTTCCCATCACGATAGTGATGACGTCTGGGGACACCATGTCAAACCCGGTGCGAGCGAAGAGTTGAGTGGAGTAGGTAGGGATGCACACTGAGCCACTCATTATCTTCACCACTCCAACCACGTTGACTATCAATAGAGCGTGTCTGTCAGCTGTGGTAGCTACAACGTCCTTCCAACTAGCCTGGTTCGCCATCTCTCTCTTCACGCATTCATCGATGGACTCCAACTCCGACATGACTTCTTCCGGTCTTTGCTTACCTCTCAGCCAAGCCAAACTTTTCGCTGCCTCTTTCATCTTGCCCTGCATCACCAGGAAGTACGGAGTCTCCGGTTGTCGAAGGAAACACACGATGAAGATCACAGGAAGAGCAGCACTGACTGCGTTTAGGATTCTATACGAGACGAAAGGTCCGATACAATACTCGAGGAGAAACCCGAAGTAGAAAGCACTCTGGAAGATACTAGTGACGGCTCCGCGGAACTTCGGACTCGGTATTTCTCCAAGGTACATGGGCACGACGGTGTACACGATGCCTAGGGCGAGTCCTTGAAGCACTCTGGCGACGCAGAGGACAGTGAGAGTTTGGGTGTTCATGATTATGATCCAGCCGATGATGTAGAGCGGGCCTGTTGCGAGGATCAGCGGCTTGCGACCGTAGGTGTCCGCCAGGAAGCCAGCCGGGATAGGGGTCAGAAGATTGCCGAACTCCAAGAGAGAGATCATCCAAGAGGCCCCGACTGAAGTCATGGGAACAGGACTTTCGGGGCTCAGGAACGTCAACAGGATTGGAGTGACCCATCCGAAACAAGACCCAGCTACCACCACGCACAGCGCCGCTAAAACAAATGACATTGGTTGGATTAATTATAATAATGCATTTAAATACTAAACTGTTCAAGTAAGAAACCACACTAACTAATACATTAAAATATTAACTAAAATACCGTATAGCTCTTTTGTGTTTTCACGTGATTGGAATTTAACTTTTTAAAGGATAACCTTATGAGAAATGGAATTATTGAATCTTAACAGCTGTTTCAATTAAACAAGTTGGTTCTGTTCTATGATGTTCAATAGCATTAAAGTTACAAGGATTGCCAACAGGGTGCAGCACTATTATTTCTTTTACATTTACGACAACAGCTAATTTGCAACCAAAAGGTGAGTGAGCGTAGCGAACGAACTTCAACCTGGAGGCGAGTTAGCGTAGCGAACGAGCTAACCTGAAGGCAAGTGAGCGCAGCGAACGAGCTCCAACCTAAAGGTGAGTGAGCGTAGTGAACAAACTTCAACCTAAAGGTGAGTGAGCGTAGCGAACAAACTTCAACCAGGACATGATTGAGCCATGCGAACGAGATAATCTTGAAAATTAAGAAGTTAAACGGGGCAAAGCCCGCGGGTTACAGCTAGTCAGGAATAAAGTAATGGACCTAGATGTTTAATGATTACACCAAAAATATTTTCACTGATTGCCTTGGGCATTAAATAAAAATCACGTTTGAAGTGTTTGAAGTGCTAAAAGTTAAAATATCATGTATATTCAACATAATAATGCATCAAATAAAAAACATATCTATGATTCACCCTGAATAAAATAAAAGAAAGAGTTTTATTTTTTTTTTCAAACAAGAAATTTATTTCCTAAAAGTCAGTTACTTCATGAGAATTTCTTACTTGTTTGGAAATAATTGCTCTGTTTTTTGACGTGCCACCGGCTTGTATAAACATACAGTGCCAGAATAGACGTTGCAGCATTACGTAATAACTTTGTAACATGTTTATTAATAACACTAACTTTTTATAGATCAGAGACTGTGTTAGTCTCTCTTAATTTTAAATGCTATGAATGACACATTTAAAAATAAAGAGTTGGATTTTCGGTTTAGCTTGGCTAAAAAGTAGCAGAATGTAATTGACAGCACAATCTGTCGGGGACTTAATTCATCTACTATTTGTGCATTATTTATATCATAAAACTTGCTAAAACTGTTGACTTTAGGTGTACAGTCGATGCTTCAACTTTAATAACATAGAAAGTCTAGTTGTATACACAGTCAAAGGCAATGTCTACAAGATTGGTTTTGTTTTTCATAAAAACCTGCTTTAAAAAAATTGTCAATTTATAAATACTGTACACACATTAATTTTATGATAATCATGAAATGTATCGAGGAATAGTTTGTTATTTGTCATAAAATGACACAGTCATTTAGAGTTGTATATTTTAAATGTTAAAAGCAAGTTGTAATGCAAACTAAAATTAAAATAAAAAATAAATTTTAATTTTTAATTGCTTGTGATTGAAATTAGTAGGCATTTAATCGATATTCTAAAAAATCTAGAAGAAAGCTCACTAAAGGGCACACCGTTAACTTTAGATATTATTAACTATATATTATTAATACTCCGGTTACAATTAACTTTCATTTAGAAAGTGTTAACAGACTAACGAACAAGCGAATGAAGCGAAGCGAGTGAATGATCTACAATAGAAGTTTCAGTGCTATCTTGGGCATTTTGAATCAGTCCAAACTAGATATTATATTAGATTTCTGTTTATCTAAATTAGGGTTCTATTTTTAACATGATGCATCACCTCAGAGTAAAAAGAACAAAAGTAATAGCCTCCATTATAGTGAACAGATAAAAAGGTTTGCACAGATAAATCTTACAAACAATCGGTTTCTTGTTTGAGAGAAGAATTGATGTCACAGGTTCATTGAACTTTCAATACTACATGGAACACCGTCATGTAAGGGAGGTATAATTTAATAATGGTAATCCACGGATGAAATAGCCGTTGATGTCAACGTGTGGATATCGTGTTTGTCCTTTTTTGATCCCAGAAACTAATGTTGCCCCTTGGAAATAAAATCGGGAAAGGAACCTACTCCTGTAAAAATTACGGTTAAAAAGTTATTGTAAATTATGTTATTTTCCTATGAAAACCCCATAAAATAAGGAAAAATAGGATTTTAGAAAAATGCCGGTTTTTATAATCCTTAAAATGTTGAAAGTTTTTTTCATTTTTTGAAATTTTGATTTTTAATGGGGTTTTACCCATAAAACCCCATAAAATATCGGGTAAATCGGATTTTCTCTGAAATGGCCTGAACGATTTTCTAAAAAATGTAGAATGTTATAGTCCTTTAAATTCTGAACAAAACCGTACAGATTCCATTACCGTAAAAATTACGGTTCAAAAGTTATTGTAACTTATGTTATTTTCCCATAAAAAACATAAAACAGATGTTTTTTGAAAAGCTAGTTTTGATCAAAATTAAAATGTCATGGTCCTTATAATTTTATAGTTATTTGTGTAACTAGTGAGCAAAGGGAGCAATTGACTCACTCGAGAGAAATACTTACTCACGAGCCGTAGGCGAGTGACGAATGTTTTCTCGAGCGAGGCAATTGCACTTTGCACTCGAGTTGCACATTATATTTTTGCTACATTTACCATAAACCAAATAAATTGATAAAGAAACGTGACATATTTTTACACAGAAGTGAACTTTTAATATTACATTTCATGATACAACAGTACATCAGCTGAACAGCTGATTTACAGCCAGTGCTGCCAACGTATTTCGCGCACATACGACCTTGTCTGCATGTTACGCGCTCACCATTTCGTGCAAATCTGGAGTGAGTGAGACAAAGTAATTAGAGTGAGACAATGTCAACATTGTCTCACTGATGAGCGAATTGGCCACTTTGCTTTCTCAAATCAGTGAGAGAACATGTACATTGTTAGGTAACTGTAGGGGAAAAAATAGTACAACACCCCATTGTTGTAAAAATTACGGTTCAAAATGTATTGCAACTTTTGTGATTTTTAACAATGAAATATCATATTACTCTCACTACTTAAAGGTTGTCAAGGTTATGGGAGTAAGTATGTGTCAGATTGCTGATGCCGTTTATTTTACTGATGACTATTTACATGCTGTAAATGAAACGTTGGTATCGAAACTATTTAGTAGCTATGAGTAAACTCTATGAATATAAGGCACAACTAATGTAAAAGATGAAAGATTTGTTCACAAAGGAGCTTTATATAGTTTTATTATAACTAAAAGGTGTTATGAATTTACGACAGGCCACATATCATCATAGTGTTTTATCAATCAAAATTGTTTTCCATTGAGCTAATGAAGTATGTTTAAATCATCAATACTTAGCGTTACAAAAAAGTACAATCTTAATTAATTATGTTTTTTATAAATTGCCTTTGCGAAAACCTTAATTTCTCCTGGAATAGTGTTATTTTTTTAAGACACCCCCAACTACAAACGATATTTTGCTATCGAAGTTTTGTAAAAATCGAGTGTGAAATGTTTTTGTACAGATAATTCTTATCAGAAACCATTTTCCGAATAAGTTTTGACCTCTGACCATCTCATGATAAGGTGATAAGGAAAATCAGCCCCAGTAGCGTTCCGTCGACGTTACTCGCTGCACTACAAGTAAGTTTTACTTTCTGCTATGTATGATTAGTACGATGATAGTAATTTGTGTAATTAGTGCGCAAAGTTACAATATGACACTCGTTTATTCAACCGTAAAGGTTTCTCACGAGTGCAGCAAAGATTCTTAGCATGAATTTCACAAGAAATTTTTCCGATGACAATAAATGACGTAATGATTCATCATCATTGTTTGTAAGCCTTTTTACACGTAAAGACAACGAAGGTACTTGTGGGTCAGGGGTCAGGGTCCAAAACTTCTTTCCGAGGCAAAATGAATCCAGTGAATACCCATTTATCTTTTCAAGAATATGTTTTTATAGAACATTTATTAGATGAATAGAATTACTAATTTAGAATATTATTTTATTTTATATCCACACTATTAAGAATGATTTCCTTCCTTTGTCAGGTCACAGTTATCAAAAAGTAGCCCATTTAAAGTGCATCTTCAAAAACGGTATAGTGACTTGTTTACAATCTGACTGTGGTTAAACATTCAACTGAAGGAACAGCTGTCAAATTACAATTCACACTATTGAGCCAATATAAAGAAAGTTGGTTAGCATCACTATCACTGGATCTTTTAAAATGGACTCTAGCAATAAATTAAACGTGCGAGGTGAAGCCCTATAGGAAAATACCTTTGTTATTACTATTCATAGGTGCGCTAGATCATACAGTACGTTTTAAAAATAGCACCTTGAACGTAAACATTTGTTAAGAATGACGGTTGGATAAGGGATAGGGAAAACCCTTACTCTACTAAGTATGTAGATTTATAGTGGCCTATACACTTGTTTTGATTCATTTTGTAAAATTAACTTAGCATTAATCACTACAATAATCATTTTCATTTTCATTAAATTGACTATAATAAAAATAATTACACCTTAAGGCTAGGGCCACACTTGGCGACTTTGTCGCGGCGACTTTTTTCACGCGACTTTGTCGCGACGACAAAGTCGCTGGGGGTGGCCACAATAGGCGACAATTACGACCTTTCAGTTTACTTTTTACCATACCATTGAATAGGGTTTTGAGATGCTGTATAGTATTTTCAAAATCGTGTCATTGATTATGGAAATGTATACGGATATATGACAGTTTTTGATTGTTTTTGGACGATCTTAGAATACATCGTTGTTTTTTACTATTATTTGCAGTATCATACAATTTAAGCAAATCTTTCACAAATTAAATCATATAGTTACATTATTTCCATACGCGCACCAGTGCCTCTTTATATTTCGTACTAGGTCACGTAATAGTTTTTGAAAATTTACCTGCAACAAAAGAAATATAATTTTTACTAAATAAAAGTGTTAAATTATGTTTCTAAAACCAATGTGAACGTCTAAATCGTCAAATCACAGTTTAATGCTTGCTATTGCTATTTTTGTATATCTAAATCCCCCCGCCGCATAAAACCTGCAGACTAAGTGAATTTACATTTGTTTGTCTAGATTTGCACTAAAATATTCACTTAAACTTGTCGGATTTATTTCCAATTTAAATAAGATGAATTTAAATTAAAGCTTTGGTTTGCTGGTACAGATAAGGTAACCTAATGAGGTGTGCTTGTTAATCAAATTTTATTAAAATATATCCATAAACAAGCAAACTACAACAGTTTGTGCTCCATAAAAACGGACATTATAAATTTACAATTGTTTAAATTATCTCCGTAACCGTTAAGCTTACAACAACGCTTAAAAGGACAAAACTATTTATTGTTAAGCTAACAAAACAGTTTGTAAGGGAATTGTGAAATTTATGTTTTAGGGTCAAAAATAAGAAAACCCCAATTTTGTACCCCATTAAAGCCCCTTAAACACCCATTCTCATAGTTTGATCATTCTGATTCGCGAACTCGTTTGAATTAACGTTGGTTTAAACATTTGTACCAAATATCATTAAAATCTCATCAATTTTGCTCAAGTTATCGCGCTAATGGGCACATGGATTCATATAAACATAAACTATATACACAGCATAAAAATGTATATAGATATAGATATGTATACAGATATAGATATGTATATACATAGAATTTGAACGGAGGGTGTTTTTGCCACTGGGGACCTCAAAACTAAAAATTAAGTCGGTCCCGGGTTTAGGTCCTACCATGCATCCTAAGGTAATACCTTATTCCCTATATGGAAAATTCTCTAAAAGGAAGAGAAACCACAGTGTATGGAGTGAATTCCCTGAAACAACTTTGTTTATGGATGGCGTATTTTAATATTGTAACTGTTTTTTAGTACTTTTTTATGAGCATAGCTTTGGCGAGCTAATGACATTGAAGACGACGCACGACATTTGAAAAATACACGAGGTTTTGGATTCTGTAGTTATATATCGATGGTTATACCAGACGAGTTAAATCTCATATATGTTACAGGACACATGTTAAAATGTCGACACTTATTTTGTTGATGAAAATATTTGTATTTTAAAAGCATATTTTCCTTATTTAACGATTGCCAGTCCAAAACTAAACAATATAGATATGAACGTAGAGCAGCAAAGGGGGTGTGAGCGAGCGACTTGTCGCCTAGTATGGCCGGTGCCGTAAGATAACATGGGGAGCGTATTTGTCGCCGCGACCGAAAAACGCTCCCGGTCGCGTTTATTTTTCTGTCGCCGGTGGTCGCTGGTCGCGAGTCGCTTAGTGTGGCCGCCCCCATTTAATTTAATGCTACGCACTTTCATTCATTGACGCCGCGACTTTGTCGCCGCGACAAAGTCGCCAAGTGTGGCCCTAGCCTTATACGTTGCTGACAATCGAAAGCTTGTCAACAATGACAGCACAACAGCTGATCTACGGGAATTTACAGCCAGTGTTGCCAACTTTTCACGCGTACAAACCTCTCTTGGCTGTAAAATGCTTATGTATAATGTTTGTAAATTAAAAATTTGAAGTGTGAAGATAAAATGCATATTAACATACACATACATACAATACATATTAAGGTATATGCGAAAGAGTGTAGGGTTAGAGTTAAAACTGGTACAAATGTATAGGCTACATTTAATTAGAAATTACCATGGATTTTAAAGGTAATTCGTAGAAAAGGAAATTTGCCCCCCCCCCCTCCCAAAGGGTTAATAATAATTTAAATAATCTCATTAAAATACTAATGATGAGTTCTGTTTTATTGCTCGTAGGATAGATCAATAGAATCTTAAATTTAATGATAGAAAGGTAATTGGTAGAGTAAATATTTCGTTCAGTACCTCCGTATCAATCATTTATCCAATGTTAAGATGGGGGCGCCACCTAGGTGGGTATTTTAACCCAACTTAAAATAATCAATGATTACTTACAGTCATCGGTTGGTTACCAATATCTGACTCCCAAACTCTAGTAAGCATCTTGAAAGCATTAAATATTTTTGCATTGATTAACCTACTTAATATATTAAAATAGCCTTGCGGAATTTACGATGAAAAAATGCATCGATTTAATGTCTGGGAACGTTAGTGGTTATGGTGTTTTGGACTTCGGTACGGGAGAGACGGTACATCCTCAAAACTTTAATGGGTTTGAAACTTTTGCCCTTAAAAGCGTTTATATCTCACGTTGACTTTAATTAAAAGGCTATTGGCGTAGGAAAAATATACAAGAAAAAACTGTAGTTTTGACTAAAATTGAAGAGTTAAGATAAACTGCCTTTTTCATAAGTCTAATTAAAAAACCACCGACTGAAAATTGTTTTATTTTTACTATAATAAATAATCAGATAATATTATATTATAGACATTATATTGTACTATAAACACTTTTTTTACAGAGTTGAAAATGGTGTAATTTGTAAAAATTATGATACGAAATAAATTATATTTTGATTTGATTTGAACATCTATACCTAATAATTAATTGATTTTGATGCTACAAGGTATGTTATTGAATTATTTTCAAATCACATATATAAATTGTGTTCCAAAAAAAATTAGGTCCACAGTATTAAAATATATCTTTACGAATTAAATCGTAGCGTTACAGTATTTTTAAACACAGATCTTATATACGGTACTTATACACTGTAATGGTTCCTAGGGAATTTAAACTCCTCATATAAATTTAAAGAAACAATTTTTAACTTGATTAAATTAAAAATTAGAGTATTATTATTCGTTGTGAGACCGTTGGTTGGAATATATTATTGATCAAATAAATTTATAAAATTAACAAATATTTATGAAAATTAGAGTTGTAACTATTTCATACGGATCTAAAGCACAACATAATTCACAGCGTCATTCCCGTTGCGAAGCACTTCATAAAAATATATTTAACACATAATTTCACACAACTTCCACCACAACTTGCACTAGCCTACCTGCACTCGCAGCAACTAGTTGACTCCACCAGCCTGTAGCCTTGTCTTCCATTCTATGGCAGGTCCTGGGCTCCGCCACCGGTCTCCCCCTGGTCTTCAGTAATGACATGACGTCCCAGGGTGGCTCTGACGTAGGACTCCGCCCTCCGCTCTCGCTTCTGTTTACCAAGAATTAGAAAGTCGTTTGACTATCGGGTCACGCAGCTTGATAAGTGACTGGTGACACGGTGTACCAGCAAACATGGGGTTTGGTGGCACGTTTTACTAGGGCGGCCGTGATTAGTTAAAAAGATTAGGCTACTTTATGATTTTTTGTTTTTAGCGAATTTTCCATCTAGGGAATAAGCTATTACCGTAATGCTCATGATAAGACCTGGACCCGGGACCGATTTACTTTTTCGTTTTGAGGTCCCTAGAGGCCAAAACACCATCCGTTCAAATTTATATATGTCCGTTAGCACGATAATTCGAGCAAAAAGATCCGATTTTGATTAAATTTGGTATAAACGTGTAAACCTACATTTATTCGAAAGAGTTCACGAACCAGCATGATCGGACTATGGGAACAGGGATTTATGGGGGGGGGGTTTATGGGGATAAAAATTTGTTTTTCCCATTTTTGACCCAAAAACCATAAAATTTTGCAATTTCTTT